AGCTGCCCAAACAATGCGTTTTTGTAAAGTTTTTTCCTCAATTTATGGTTTTTATTCTTCTTTGAGAGTCTATCCCACTCCTCTTAGTAGCTATTCAAAATCTCTTCCCTACTCAAGCTCCCAAGGCCTCTTCCACTCCTCCTCCAGAATTCTAAGTGGATATCTTTAAAATCCTTCTTCTCCATGATTTCATACCTCAAAACCCTTCTTTACTCATCCTTTTTTCTTAAAAGAATATCTGTCTCTGAGGATGAAGCAGCTATTCTTGCTAAAGTCAACTTGTCCCCTCAATTCCATCCCCTTGCATGTCCTCCAGAAGTTTACCAACCATAATTGTTGTTCATCCGTAATATTCTCTGTCTCTCTCTCTCATATCTCTCCCTATCTACTAGTTTTTCCCCTTGCTACCCCACAAACATCTTATCTATCCCATCCTTTAAAAACCCACATTTTACATTTCTTCAAGCTCATACCACATTTCTCTTTACCAGTCAAACACCTAGAATCTTCTACATTCTCCATCTTCACTTCCACCTCACCCCCTCACTTGTCATTTCCTTGTAATCTGGCCTTAAATCCTACCCCTCAACTCAAACTGTTCTTTCACAGATACCTATGGCCTTTCCTCACTTCTTCTCCTTGACCTCTCTTACAGCTCTTGATATGGCTTTCTGTTCTATCTTACCTCAGCTTCAAAACATAGCTCTCTCTCCGGTTCTCCTACTTGTCTCAATCTCTTTCTCTGTTTTCTTTGCTGAATCATCATCTGTCTCCTCCCCTATACCCTATAACCTAGGGCTCTTTACAGGAACCTCTGCTCTTATTAAGAACATTGATTTAGAGTTCTCATCAGGTTTTATTCAGCTTCCATGATTATGAAGATGACTTAATTTATCTCAAGCCCAGTTTTTCTCTTGAGCTACCAATGCATGAACTGCCATCTGGGTATCTTCTCCTATATGTTGAAGACCCTAAGTAAGTAAGACCTTGTCCTAAGTAAGGATAAGGGTTAGGCAGAAAAAGAGAATGGGTCCAAATTCAAGCTTACTATCCTCGTGATTTTTAGCAAATTACTTTGGGTCTCTTTCCTCAATTGTAAAATGAGTCCTTCAAAACTATATGATCTCTAAAGTCTTTTTTTCTAAGTCCCACGATAAAAGCTTTTACCTTAAATACACACACATATGAATTGGGGCCCTGCACACTATATAGGTCTATAAACAATAAGGCTGCTCTCTGATGGTTCTTTTTCCACTGCTGGTAGATTTTTAAAGTTATATTTGCCTATCAAAGAAGAGAAGTGTAAGCAAATTATACTATATTTATCTATATTTAAAACATTTTCATGCAAAAAAAAGCTTAGGAGTAATGTCTAACAAGGTATACTTTGTGATTCAATTTTAAAAGCACCTACCACATCTCATTCATTTTTTTAAGTAGCCAACAAAATCAAGAAACAAGAATAAGTAAAAGCTCATGCAAGACACTGAAATATGATAAACTTTTATCTTAAAACCCAAGAAACTGCAAAGCTGTACCTAAAATATCAGTATGAAATTATGTAATTGGACAAAGTGTAATAGTAAGATAATTTCTGGTCATTTCAAAGATCTATTATAGACATCTGATAAAAACAGCAAATGAAAAAAAAATTGTTCAACACTGCAATTAGACTGAATTATCCTATCATATCATGCACTGAAATCACATTTAAATTAATACTATTTTATTTCCTTTAAAAAAGCTGTCTCTGAGGACTCATGTTTGATTAATTCAATATTGTACACTATTCAAATTTCTAGCAACAATTAAAGCTAAATACGAATTTTAGAAAATAGATACTTTGACTTTTTAAAAGTGGCTATTACTCATATTTATTCATACTTTAGCCAAATCATTAAATGTAGGAGAAAATACAATCTGTTTCTAAAGCTGGTTTTCTCTCTTTCCAGTTTTTTTTTCTGTTTTTAAATGGAAAATATATTTTAAAAATACAATGCTAATACAGATTACTCCCTTGATAATACCAGAGTAAGACAGAAGGAATTAAATTCATATACAACTGAAAAATCTTATTTAATAGACTAATATACTATTATCCCCTTTTTAATAAAGGTATGAGAAAATAAATGACAAGTATCAGAAAAGAGCTTCAATAATATGAAAACTAAACCCAAATTTATATGTCAGTATGCTAATCTTTTCATTCTATCAGACTGCTAATATCATTGGGATCTACAACATCCCTCAAAATATCTTCCATGATGCATTCTACAATGCAATATAAAGTATACAATTTGGAAAAGTGTACTTCAAAAGACAGTGATTACATAAATATAATGGACTATTGGTGTACTATAAGAAATAATGAATATATGATCAATACAGAGAAGCATAAGACTTGTAGAAACCAATGCAAAGAGAAGTAAATAGAATCAGAAAAGCAATAAACACAATGATTACAATACACAATAAAACACAATAAAAATAATAAACTTTAGAATGTCATCTCCCTTGCTCACTGACAAAAAGACTCCACATACATCAAAAGCAATACTTAGTCTTGGTAAAGAAATGGAAACAAAGTAAATGCCAATCAGCAGAGGAATGCCTAACAAATTGTGATACACAAATGTAATAGAATCTAGAGGATGCAAAAGCAAAAGATTAAAAAAAAAAACATGTTTGTTTTTTTTTAAATGTGACTACCTCAAGGTCAGGGATTATTTTTGCCTTCTTTGTATCTCCAGACTTAACACAATACCTAACATACGGTAATAAATGCTCCTTGACTAACTAAAATCTGTGAAAAGGATAACCATGGGCTCCAAAGAAAGTTATGAGAAGACTCCTGCCTTCCCATTCTGTGCAGAGGCATTACAGGATAATGGAACACTGAAGATGATGTCATACTTTTTTTCCATATGTTCGTTAATTTTGTTGTACTGTGTTTTATTCTTTGAAAGGAGGAAGGGAGAAAGATACATTGGACAATGCAAGTGATGTTATCTCCTTCTGAGGACCTGATTTTCTTCGCTCCTGAAGAAACACCACTTTCAGGACTTTAGGATAATGTCACTAAAGACAAATGAAATGATAGTCCTTTTTGCAACTCTAGGCAGAAACCAAGGAAATCCAAGAGATAATTGGGCAAAATAAGCAACTGTTAGTCTAATAAATTCTAATGCTTATTGAAGTGAGATAACATACATAAAAGAGTCTATAAACCTTAGAGCACTCTATAAATACAAGCACTGAGTAAAAAAAAAATACAGGACATATAAGAAAGGTATCAATAAAATTTACTTTAAAAAAAAAAGTGGTGCTGATCATTTAATAGTAACTTTATCCTTCTTTTCAAAATGAAATCCAAACAATGCAATGGACAAAACTTCTCACTCTAGTAAATTTTTTTACAAATAAATTGCTTTACCTCAGAAAAATTGGCACGTTGCAAAATAAACTGTGGAGTTATGGAATGAACAACAAATCTGGCAGCATCAGATAGTTTTTTTACTTTATGGGGTTTTATAAGTTCACTTTCTAAATAAAAATGTTCTAATAGCTACATGATGTGACAACCCACTTTTGCCAAGTGTGTAGCTGTTTCATAAATAATATATTTAAAGACATATACAGATTTATGAATTAATTTTTTTAAGCATGATGTCAAGCTTCAAAGGGGGTATAGTAGAAGGAAAACTGGATTGATTCAGAGTCAGAGGACCTGAGTTCAAATGCTAGTTCTGTTACTTACTATATGTCTCCCTTGGGGCAGACCTTTAACCAATTTCTCTGTGCCTTAGTTTCCTTTTTCTTTTCCCTTAAAATGATCAAAATTATCTCTTTAGCTGCTACCAGCTCTCAACTGTGAACCTGGATAATGAGATGGGACTGCAGCTGTCAAATTTGTTTCTTGTAACCACAATACACTATATTGAGTGTCTATTCACTTCTAATTTTCTTTTCCAAGAAAATCTATGTCAGTCAACACTTTGATTCTTCTATGATCACCCAAGCAGTCCAGTCACAAAAGTAAAACACAAAATTTTAATCTCCTTCCTATCCAAGAAGTTGGTGTATGATGGCGCTCACATGACTTTGTTTTTGCTTGCATTTCTATCCTAAGCGCTTAGTACAGTGCCTGATGTGCAGTAAATACATAATGCTAGTTTCCTGCCTTCCTAAGGAAGGACTGGGGTGGGAAGTAGTGCAAAGGAAAGCTCATTATTATTACGAAGCTCTATAAATGCTAGCTGCTATTATTTTTGTTTGTGGTATTACTAATAGCAATCATACTATTGATAAAATAATAGAAGTATCAACAGCTAGAATTTCCCTAGCCCTTTATGGTTTTGCAAAGCACTTTCCACACGTTATTTCAATTGATACTCGGAACAAACCTCGGAGTGGGTGCTAGTAACATCCTTATTTTACAGGTGAGGACGCCGAGCTGCAAAGAAGTGAAATGACTTGCCCGGGGATGTCCCCCGCAAAAGGGTCCTGGAGTCAGGATTTGCCCTCACGTCATTTTACCGACTTCAAATTCACAGGCAACTAGCAGCCTAAAGGGAGGCTTCACACTTCCACCTGGGCCAAGGTGTGAAAAGCAAGCGTGGGGCACCTCCCAAGAAGCTGGGATCCCAAAGGACAAAATCAATACTTCCTCCCCGCCCAGAAAAAAACGCCACCATCCTCCCCTTCCCCGCCCCCGCGGGTGGTGGAGAGCGAAACTCCCGCCCTGCGCCCCGAGCAGGCGGGCGCCCCCAAAAGCCGCTCCCCGCCTCCCCAAACGGACGCAGGGGGTCGGGGGCCCTGGAGAAGGGCTCTTGGCCAGGGGTGGGGGCGGGGGGCAGGTCGGCAACCCTCCCCTCCTCCCAAACCACCCCCTCCCGCGGGGGCTCCTCTTGACTCCGTCCCTGTGCCCAGACGCCCACCCCCTCAGCCCGCCCGCCCGCCGGCCGGCCGGGGAGCGCGGAGGCGGAAGCCCCACTGCTCACCATAGCTGTCCGGGGAGCGAGTGGCGGGGGACACGGGGACAGACAGGCCGACGGCGGCTGAAGAGCCCTAACGGGGTTCGGATTCCATTCGCGCCAACAAGTTCTCCCGCGAAATAGGGGCAGGGGCGGCGGCGCCCCGTGATGACGTAGGAGAGCTCGCTGCGTACACTTGGGTGAGGTCGCGAGACTGGCCGGGCAGGCCTCCCACTCCGCTCTGGCCCGGGCTCCGCGCAAGCGCGCTGGGGTGGAGGTGGGGCTGGCAGGGGGCTTGGGCCCTGCCCTCAGCGATCTTACATTCAAATACATGAATCAATTAATTATGGCTATACAAGCTATATACAGTGTACGTGGAAAGAAATCTCTGTCAAGAAACATTTATTAAATGCTTACTGTGTGCCAGGCACTGTGCTGAGCTCTGGGAATACAAAGAAACGCAAGACAGTCCTGGCCTTCAGGGAGCTCAAAATCAACTATGTACAAAGGAGATATGTAGAGAGTAAATTGGAGGGCAGCTAGGTGGCGTAGTGGATAGAGCACCAGTCCTGAATTCAGGAGGACCTGAGTTCAAATTTGACCTCAGACACATAACACATACTAGCTATGTGACCCTGGGCAAGTCACTTAACCCCCATTGCCCAACGCAAAAAAAAAAAAAGAGAGAGAGAGAGAATAAATTGGAGATGATCCCAGGAGGAAGGAATTAGCAGGAAGGACTGGGAAAGTCTTCTTGCAGAAGGTAGGGCTTGAGCTGTTCTTGTTCGTCCTTCCTCTTCAAAGATGGACCGGCCTGAATTGTATTTAAGTGAGGCAGCATTGCACAGTCATCAGCCTCGCTGTCTCTTCCAGAGAGACTCAACGGCCAGTGGCCATTGGAACAAATTACCTTCATCCACCCATTTCCACTAGGGGGAGTCTCTCCACATGCTTGGGCTGGACACCCCCTAACTCACCAGTGTGGTTACCCTCACCCTGGTTTAGCCAATCTGCCAAGAAAATTTTACCATGGTGTGGCCACTGGGCATGCCACAGCTTCTTGGAGTTACAGGTGAGAGTTGAGTACCAGCAAGACGCCAAAGGGGTCTGAAAAGGGCTTTGCAAGCCCTCACATCAGAGGTACTAGTCCTTCTTGAACAACCCACGCACCCCAAGGACTTTAGCTAGAATTTGAAGTAAGCCAGGAAAACCAAAAGGGGGACATGAGGAGAAAGAACCTTCCAGCTGGTGAAAATGCCCAGATATTAATGCATTATTGGTGATTATTAGAATCAGTATAATCATTTTGGAAAGCAATTTGAAATTGTGCAGATAACATTACTATCCCTAACCTTTGACACAGAGATTCCATTGCTAGGCATATACTTTAAGGTGTAAGGGAGCTAGCGTACAAATGGATAGAACACTGAACCTGGAGTCAAGAATGTTATCATTCAGTAATGTCCAACTGTTTGTGACCCTATTTAGGGTTTTCTTGGCAAGAATACTGGACTGGTTTGCCAGTTCCTTCTCCAGCTCATTTTACAGATGAGGAAATGGAGACAAACAGGGTCAAATGACTTGCCCAGGGTCACACAGCTAGTAAATGTCTGAGGCAAGATTTGAACTCATGGAGTCTTTTATGCTATTTTAAGACAAACATGCTGGGTAACAAACATACTGCAACCAGTATGTATGCATGTAATTCAAGGTGTTATTGAGGAGACAATGTTCCAGAAGTCAGTGCCGTTAGTATGTGTTTATCTGTGAAAATGAAAATATGGGTGCAGAACCTTGCCTTTAATAGGAAATATAAACAAATAAAAAATATTAATAAAATCTCTTGTTTCCATAAAATATACAGAAAAAGGGAAAGCACTGCCCTTTTGAAATAACTAAGAACTGTGTCAAATGATTAGAACACATCAGATAAAAATTGAACTCTGATTTCCCTTTACAAGTGGTTCAATTAGTGTTTTAGTGGCAAATTAACAGAAATGAGCAGTGTAAGTTTTTGTGTGTAAATGCCTTTGCCTCAGTGAAATTATCTGTATAATGAAGATAAAACTTACCTATAACCATTTGAAGTCCTCTGTCCTTTCAGAATAGGTCACATTTATAGAATTTAAAAATTCAAAAAACAGAAATAACTAAGAATTTGTATTCATTTTAGAATTTTCATTCTGCAACAATAACTATAACTTCCTGCCCTCTGGATAAATAGTAGTATGTCTTGTTTATCTGCTTATTAGAGCATTTTCCTTATAGAAAAAGTTGATTACCCAGCTTGTCATTTTCTGTGTTTGTGGTGACTGCAGAATCAGACCAACAACAGTGGCCATATAATCTATTTATGCACAAAAAGAATCATTAAGTCACAATCTATCACTATTAGAGTGCATACATTGGACTTTAGGAAATTAAGTACTAAGTATATCGTTTATACTAATGCAGAATGAAGTCCAAATAATCTTCTTAATGTGATTATGTGTGAGTAATCTGGGTATGTATGAATTTGCCAGATAGTTGACTTCTTATATCATAAGAAAGTGTACTCCATCTCCTTACAAATAAAAGATAGAAAGTTTTCCTAGATATAACTGTTTTTTACTTGGAAGGTAATAAAGAACATGAAATCATGTGGAACACTAAGATTTAAATAAAAGTACATAATCTTCAATGATGGTATATTCCATTGATTATGTTTTTAGGAGTTTTTCTGGTAGCAAACCCATGATTTCATCAGTGTATTGACATTCCCATGCAGAAACTTCCTCCACCACATGAAGACCTGCAACCCATCTCTAACTTACAGTTTTGGCGAACCAGTTGGAACACTGAGAGATTTAATGCCTTGCCAATTGTAATGAAACAAAGGGTTGTCTGTATCAAAACCAGGTCAACATTATGTACCACACAATGCTTCCTCTCTACATGTCTTCATATAAATGTATAATGTTTCTCAAACTAAAGGTCAGATCCCTAAAGGGATCAATGGAAAATTTCAGGAGGTATGTGGAGACCAAAGTCTTAATAATTCCAATGAACATTTTGCAGTAGCATTAGGTTACATGAGCAAGGTAACCTAACTTTCCACTACAAAGGTAGCAGAAGATTTTCTCCAAGTTTTTTTAAATTTGCTGCAAAGTTAAAAATGTTACATAGGGACTATGTTAGGACATGAAGAATCACCAATACTATTGAGAGTTATAAAGTGAAAAGCCTTGAATATCCCTGTTACAGTTTACACAACATTGTAAAGAGAAACAATTTTTAAAAACTTAAGAACTGAGTTCAATTCCAGAGGGCTAATGAGGAAACATGCTACCCACCTCCTTACAAACAGGTGATAGACTCAAGGTACAGAGTGAGACATACTATATCCATTTTCAGATAAAACCAATGTGGAAATGTTTAGCTTGGCTATGTATGTTTTTGTTGCAGTTCTTTTAATGGAAGATGAGGGATTTTCAAGGGAAAGAGTAGTGGCAGTAAGGTTGCACCCCAAAAAAAGGAAAGAAAAGAGACTCATTGACTCATTTTTTAAAAATATACAGAAGAGAACAAAAGGAAACACAGACTATCAGGAAAGCTTTAGAAGTTATATTTTCTTTTTTGACAAGCTTACTATATTATTAGATCAAAGGAAAGCTATAGATATAGTTTAGCTAAATTTTAACAAAGCTTTTGATAAAGTATCACATGCTATTCTTGTGAAGAAGATAGAGGGATATGGATTAGATGATAATACAATCGGATGATTTCAAAACTGGTTGAATGGCCAGACTCAAAGAATAGTTGTTTATGGTTCGAATGTCATTGTGGCAGGAAATCTATAATGGAGTACACTAGGAATCTCTTGATCTTATGTTATTTAAGGTTTTTATCAATGACCTTTGAAAAGTTATAAATGGCATGTTCATTAAATTTTCAGATAACTCAATATAATATATGACATATAGCTAATATGGTATGTGACAAAGTCAGGTTCCCAAAGGATCTGGAAATGCTAGAACTTTGGGCTGAATCCAGAAGATGAAATCCAATAGGAATAAATGTAAATTCTTGGGCATAAAAAAAATCCACTTCACAAAGTATAAGATGAGAGAGGCATGAATGGACAGAATTTGTGCTAAAAAAGGTCTAGGAATTTTAGTGTACTACAAGGTCAATATGACTCAACAGTGATGTGACTTCCAGGAATAGGGGCATGATAGTACCACCATATTCTCAACGTTTGGAAAAATTTCCCATCAATTAAAGTTGCCCAAAAGTGAGTTGGACTTCCTAGAGAGGAGGTGGGTTAACCTTCCTTGAAAGTCTTCAAGCAAAGGCTGAAGGAACGTTTGTTGAATATGTTATAGTTGGGATTCTTTATGTGTGTGGATTGGGCTAAAGAGCTGTTGAGGGGCCTTCCCACTATCAAATTCTATGATTTTTGTCATTCTCAATTGAAGAAAAAAACCAAGTTATACATATATAATACAGATTCTCATAGTCTGATTTTTTTCCTCTTCTACTTTGTATATGGAAATGTTCTTTTTTTTGGTATTTCTTAAATTCAGAATTTTAAAAATCAATTTAAAAGAATCACTGTTAAAAAAAAGAATAATTGCACTGTCATTTGAAAATGTTACCACGATGAATCTTACCTAGAATTTTTCTCCCCATTTCGATCATATTTGGTAAACAAGTATTTTAAGTTTCCATAAAAATGCCATGAATTCTGTCTAGTCACAGATTTTGAATAGACTAAAGTTATCACAATCTATAAAAAGTACTTCATACGTAAATAAAATAATCTAATCAGAGGATGCATGCAGCCTATGATACTACTGAGTGTCCCCTGCCCCTGAACCAAATTAAAATGTAATTGGGAAATATTTAATAAAATAAAAATACAATGAAACACAGGTAATGCCGAATGTGCTTTTCTAGGTCACTGTGCTGCCTACAGGGAACATGATGTGTAGTTTAGTGACACCCATTTCTATTTGAGTTTGGCAACGCTTGTCTAAATAATCCTAGACATGGAGGTAGAAGAGACCTTAGAGGACGTTAAGTCCAACTCTCATTTTACAGATAAGGAAGTTGAGGCACAGAGAGATTAAAAGACTTGCCTAGGGTCACACAGAACATAAACCTCTGAGGCAGGATTCAAAATCAGGTGTTTCTGACTCCAGGATCAGCATCATATTCACTATGCCCCCTAGCTACCCTGG